GCACAGACTGAACTTTGCCAGGTTGGTGGCTTTAAGGCCCATTGTTATCCATCACTTGAGTTATGAAGTCACTGACCTGAGCCTCTACCCCTGCAGAGTTTCCAATGAGCCTGCAGCAGCAGACGAGCAGCTGCACACTATTTCAATAAACTCTCTTTTGACTATATCATTGTCTGTCTTGCCTGAATCCTGGGTCCTTTGTCCTGAGCCTTCTGACATTATATTTGAAGCTTTTGAGCTTTTGTTACTTACAAAAAACATAGTCAGTTTACCCATAATGACAAAACTTTTGCAAATCATAGTTTACAGGATTATCAAATTTGTGTTTCTTAGTGTTCTGATATGGAGCTGATAAAAGCACTTGGAGATTACATTTTTTTAATGCATGTCAGTGTTGGCTAAAACATCTCTACATGTATTGGAGGTCTACATTAGACCTCTAACAAAAATATGAAGTAAATTTCAGAAAATGATCAAACTTTCACTGTTAAACTTAATATCTACCAATTGTCGCCCAGAGGTTTAAAAACCTGATTAATTTACAAAAAAATGTTTGAACATTAATCAGTCAGCAGTTAAAAAACATATCACCATGCAAGCTATGAAGCATGAAGGTGGAGGTGTCATGGTATAGGAATACCTGTCCATCTCGCAAAAAAATTACCCACCATGTACTGTGTACCAGACCCCAAACATACTACTGAATTGATCTATGGAAAGTTCTAGGCTTAATCTTATAGAGATATGACACAAAAGTTAACTTTTTTAAAAACTCTGTGAACGGAGGCACCATCCCTAAACTTGATATGACAATTTGAAAGATACAGATTTGCAAATGGAGAGAAAGTAAAAATGTAACAATCCTGCTCTTTGCTTTATTAAGACACTTCCTTCTGTTTGGAAAAATGCTGAGTAGTCCTGTAATTTCTGTTCTTTTTAGTACCCATAAAAATCAGGCAAAACTTCACCTTTACTGCAGTGCCCTGATTTTTGAGGTATTTTAAAAACAGCTTAAACCTTTGAGCAATACTGCCTCCTGCTGGATAAACTGGCCGAGATTTGGAAATAAAACAAGTGTTTTTATTACAATAAGAGATAAAATAAGGAAAAACACATTTTCAAAAGGACTATTCGACGTCAAGAGTACTGCACCAATCCAATGACTTCTTTTTTTATTTGTTAATAATCCAGTTTAATTATTCATTTGATGCAGCTTGCCAAATCGTATTGTGATGAGGCAAGTTGAAACAAGTTGTTCAACCGTCTACAGCTTTGTGCTGGCATTAAGCCTGATCTCAAACATAAGGCCAACAGTAACTTCATTGGAGACAACATTAGATTTTAATAAAAATATTTTTCATTGTTTGAAATAAAAAAGACAATACACTTAATGTTTATTCTGCAAAACAAAAGTAAGATTTATTTGTGGACTTTGCTGCAATAGTGTCCTATTTCTGAGTTAACAGGGGAAATATCACAGAGGGGAAAGGAGAATGCCACTTATTCTAATTGTACAATTTAAAGTTTTAAATAATACTTTCTAGTACCTTCCTGGGTGATGGAAAAAAATGCGCATCAGTTTGTATAATTTCAATGCAAATATTAAAATGAAATGAGGAGTATCTGAATTTTCAGACTAAAGATTGGGGAAAAAAACACTACTCTGTGTAATAAACAGGACCACAGGAGCAATCACAAACAATTTAAAGGAAATGTGAAACAGCTGTTATCTCTTGTCTGACACTGACACAGCTGACTGAATCCTTTGTGTGATATGGGTACCATAAGGTGATTTTGCTCTCCACTTTATGTGGTGACTAGTGTTTTTGCCTAAGGTTGTCCTTGGATCTATTTTCTTAAGTTTGCACATGTTTCATCATGGGGAAACATTTCAATGATAATGATATTTTGTGTCTCATTCAACTCTACTTAATGTGATAAGCTGTAATGTTAGAGGATATATCTAGATGGTATACAGTACCTGCTATTTATGAACAAATGAAACTTCATTATTGACCCTGAACACTGTGTATAATGTAATAGTTTGATGCATTGCACTGAACTACTCAGCCACTCCTTGAAAAACATGTTGGTTAGCTTTGACCTTAAATTCTTTGGAATTTAATTGTGGCCTATATATAAATTGCCTCTTCCTGTAACTGAATTATCAGTTAGTCTGAAGATAATCACTGAGACCTTTGACTCATCTTATCTGGATCATTGGGACAGTACCCCCTGTCTGCCCCCCCAAAAAAGTTGCTACTAAAAAAGCTTACAGACTCTAGTCTTACGTTGGACATCTTTAGCTTTGATTAAAGAATGTATTCTATATAGAATTGTTATATACGGCTCTGCAATGTCACAAGATTTATTTCCAAGATAGTGTATTGATGATGAGAGAGTTTGACCACATAGTAAAGGCTGTTTTCCAAGGAGCAAACAGCACCTCCTTGAGATTCTCAATTGGCTTTAGGTTTGGACTCTGAATTGGCCATGTCAAAGTGTGAAACATTCTTTATAAATGTAATTTGAGCCTGATGAAACCTAGAGGTAGCCTCTTTGAATATGCATGGTCAATTAGGGGGAAAGAATCTATCAATCAAAAAACCTAGTTATTCAGGTACAGTTTACAGTTGACATTAACAATCAACATTTCCATTGTAGCTTCCTTTCTGAAAGCATTCATTTTGCTTTAGAAAGAATAAGGGGATTAATAATGCTATGCAATGAAAGTATGATTAATTTAACTAAAACTTGCAAAGACTGTGTAATTTTTGTTCCAAACATCTGATCTTTATGATTTCTTTTCTTTTTTTAATTGTGCTTGTTTGTATTTATTTGTTTTAGCTCTCCTGAGGAGCTAAAACATCCCCAGAAAAGCTAACGTAAAAAGTACTGTATACATGCACTTAACGACTTACTTTTTTGCCTCCTTGCAAGATTCTTTCAGGGTGTTTCTATGGTTATCAAAACTTAAGGTGTATTTGTACTCTATAAAAGCTACTGGAACCAGAATTTCCCTGAAGGAGTAATCCCAACAGATAAATAAAGTTGAGTCTAAGTCTATTAGTTGGTATATTGGCAAAGATGTCCTAGGTGCATTTTTTTTTTACTCCTTAAAAGTCTTTATAAAAGCACTTAACTAACCTCTTCACGTTTAAAGACTTACCTACTAACTTTCTTACTTGTTATTACTTCAAGCCAGTCAAAAAAGCTGCCAAACAGGTATTACATATCAAACGATCTCAGGACATTTGGATGATCTATTATTGCCCAAACTTTAACTTCATGGCTGATGTCTTGCTTCAGTATGTCTTTGATTGTTTTGTCCCTCACCTATCATGATGCTGTCTCTCTGTATGTCATGGTGCATAGTGTGAACTACCATAAATAAGAGGATGTGTTTTCTCCATCTTCCTCCATATATAACAATGATCATTATGACTAAAAACTTACATGTTAAAGCCTGTGTTTGTGCAAACTCCAGCATGTCTCTGAAAATGGATTTATAGGGTAATCTGGATCTTTATCTATGCATCACTGTATGCAATTAAATCTAAAAATCTTTGTATGATATTTTTTTTATAAACAGGAACAATTTCCCTTTTGCAGTGTATTAAGAGAGGCCATATGCTGTTAACCGGCACTACACTGAAAAAAGCAAAAACACATTAGACAGAAATGTAGCAAATTCCTACAGCTGCAAAATAAAGTACATAACTGACTTAAAACAAGTAATCTTTAGTTTAATGTAATGCCAGAAAAAGAAAAAAGGTTTTGTAACGGTTATGGTTTTAATCTATGCTCTGGATTACCCATAATTCCAAGTTGTATTGTAAAAAAATAAAATACTCAAATACATCGTTATTTTAAGATCTTTATTGCGGTTTCAAACATATTATATTTTTTTTTACCAACCGTCTAATGAACTATACACAGTTATTAACATAGTAATTAAAAGTACCACTGTTCAAGTATCAGGTGGTTTTAAGAGGAATTTTTCACACCATTACATCTGCAAAGAGATGTCTTAGTCCACAATTTCGAAGGGGGCCAATCAGGTGTCAGTGACAGGGCCCCTAAGAGGTCGGGGGCCCTAAGCAATTGCAGTCTCTGCATACCCATAGTTACGCCACTGCCTTGCCCTTAGCGAAAAGTAGTATACTTGAAGTAAATTCTATTAAGAATACTTAAGTATAAGTATAAGTTTACTAAAGTAATACTTCTTCAAACTAAATTGGGTCATTTTTAAGTTTACAATAAAGTAAACAATAGTATAGTCAAGTACACTTGACTATACTATTGTAAAGTATATGAAATATAGTTTCGAATAAGTAAACTCTAGATGCACTGCCTGATTTTAAGTATGAAATTAGTGCCCTTTTAGTATACTTGAATAAACTACTTTTTGCTAAGGGTGACCATAACTCCTTGGTCAGACATGTGGGATGAATTTATATATTTTCACCACTAGATAGAGCTCTGATGTTATCTAAAATCCTCCTTTTGTTTCGTTTCTTTATGAAACTACCTCCACTTGTGATCCACGTGTTGTATTGTAATGAAGTCAAATTAGTGGGCTTATATTTACCTTATTTTAAGTGACATGTGAGCCTGTCACCTCTAGGGGGACTCCTCGGTCCAACAATGCGTTAGGAGCGCGCATGTGTGTTCCTGCTGTGTTAAGGATTTTTTTGGTATATAATTACTGACCTTGTCGAGACCATTAATCCTTCAAAGAACGAGCTCCAATTCTGACTGGATTGGAGTTATGAGATGAGAGGGACATGTTAGGGTTGAGAATACTTATGGTTATAATTATAATTGTGGGTGTGCATAATGATTGGTAGTTAATGTAGTGTCTTAATAATGTCAGAGTCTTTGTGCGTGTGAAAGAGGGAGGGGGGAGAGAGAGAGAGAGAGAGAGAGAGAGAGAGAGAGAGAGAGAGAGAGAGAAAGGGGAGGAGGGGGGGATCATCATCCCTGCTGAGATCCCCTCCTGCCTCTCAAACCCTCTCCTCTCCAGTCCGACTGATCCGCGTCTGAAGCGCGTCGCGCCGGCTGAACCAGATCTCCACTGCGGTGTTTGACTCTCTCCCCTATCGGATCTATTCTGGCATAGATGGATATCCAATGGTGAGTAACACACAGTGCTTGTCTTCAGCTTTTTGCTCCCATTGCGCTGCAAATCGACCTGAGTTAAAAAGTAGTCAGATTATACAGCAGTCGGAAAGAAACGCAAACAGCTGATCTGTACTACAGGCTTTCTGACTTATAATGGTCTCGGTGGAGATGAGTAGCCAGGAATGAAGCACTGCAATGCTGCTGAGCATACCTGGATAAAATAGACTCAGCTCTACTTTCCCAGTCCTCACCTGCCTTCTGCGCTGCTTGACATCCTTGGATGACAGTAAACGTTTTTCATCTGATCATGTTTGGATATCAAACATGATGAGGGAGAGGCCCCACGGACGAAACTCTCTGCAAACTACAATCACTTATCTATCAGCACATAGTGGTGATACTGAGGGATCCACTTGCAGAATCTTCAGCTCACTTCAAACTCACTTCAAGTCCAGGGTCCCACTGGGTGGTTAAAGAGAGGACATGTGAACACAGTCATCGACTTTCCCCTGCAGGCTGCTAGTGCGTCCTGTTATGTAATGCGCTTCGGTTCGGCCGGCTGCCCGCAGCCAGTCCGACAGGCCCTACACGTGTTATTGCTAAACATGTTTTCTAACATCATGGCAGAAGGACTAATTGACCGCTTCAATGTTTGGAAAACCAGAACAACAGCCTCTTCATTTTCATCGACAACGCCAGCATGAAAATCCCGATCCTAATTTGTGATACATGCATGCAGGACAGCTGACTCCAATCGGCCCATGTGATGCAGATTCAGCTCATGATATATAGCAGATGTCTCCATGCTGGCTGCAAATTATATTGCATAAGAGTCAGCTGGCATGTCCCCTATCACCCCACCACCCCCCACCAAAAACAATAATAGAATAAATAAGAAAAATAAAAACAAAACGAAAAAAGCTAAAAAACAGATAAACAATAAATGCAGATGTTATTGCAGTATAAAATAGACAAGTTATTGAATTGGCCTTTGTCTGTTTACACACTCCCCACAATCACAGTCCCTGTCATCACGTCACAATAGGAAGAGGTGTTGATACAAAGTCCATGACTCTGTATTATTATTTAGGTATCCTTGTTTGACCCAATTTGCATTAAAAAAAAGAACTGGAATAATGGATTCTGATTCAGTCTATAGAAGTAGGAATATGCATGGGCGGTTCTAGACAGGGGGCAACAGGGGCCAGTGCCCCCATAGATCATGTCCTGGCCCCTCTTATGCCCCTGTACTGAAGACATAATACTCAAAGAAATTCTAATGATGATGTACACTGGAACAGACATGGTTACTGATCCTGATCGGTTATTTGGATCAATTTCATTTTTTTTCTTTACAAATTCTGTTTCACTGATTATTTACAAAACAATAAGGTGATAGCTTCAGTGGTATTGAGATAGTTTTCATCTGCTAAATGTTTTTTTTTATAAAAAAAAAAAAAACGCTGAATTTATCAGTTTTTTTTTTGTTCTAATTCAGATTTTATAGAAAACTGCAATTTTAGCTTAAATTAAATCAAAAATTTGTAAAATTCCTAAATGCTGAATTTATATCGATCTAATAAGACATTTTTTAATATTAATTCATTTTAATTGAATAGAAATTTCACTTGCTGTTATATTGATATATTTGAATCCTTTGCACTGTTTTTTATTTCATGCTTTTCTGTGCCCCCATGAAAACACACTGGCCCCCTCCTGGCCCCCTCCTGGCCCCCTGGTACATTTGGTCTAGAACCGCCTGTGGGAATATGTAGACCTGCTTTTCTATAAATCTGAACAGTTTGTTTTATTAAGTGCTCTGAGGAATTTGTTTCATACTAAAATTGAAACAAAAGTCAACCAATAACCTATTCGAACTGTTAACTGGAGTATACAGACTATAAAACATGTCATTATCTGACCTAAGTTTTGACCTAAAGTATCTGTTTTTCAGGACAGTCAAAGCAGTAATCAACAGATTAATTGATCACTAAAGTAATAGCTGCAGCAAGGGCAGAAACAACTCATTGAATTAATCGTGATTAATTGCTTTTTGAAATAATTGTCTGTCAATATGCTCTATCCAGAACTCCTCAAGTGGAACAGTTGTAGTTTCACCTGGTTTAAAAAGTCTTGTTAAAGGAACCTTTTGCTGTCTGATTATTATTCCATTACTTAAAGAAATAATCGACTGATTAATCGATTTAGTCTTAAATTAGTTTTATATCTCCCAGTACAGAGTACATAAACAAAAATTGCATTGAAATAGTCCATTTAAGGTGTGCTCACTCCTCAGAACCACACTTGGAAAATGAAGGTGAAAAATGCCCTTGGATGGGATCCTAGCTATAACCCTGTCTCACAAATCAGGACAAGACAAAAATAAAGAGACACACCTGGGGCTGAAGACTTACAGTTTTTCATTCTTTCAAATGTTTTTATTGTTTTCGGTTGACTAACCCACAATGCTGCATCTGGTCGAAGGATACGACACAAAGATGTGGTGCAGAGCAAACCTTATTAACCCTGTTTAGAAACATCAACACATGTTAAACTACCGGTATCTGCTGTGCTGAAGAGCACAGCAGATTAAGGAGAGCGTTAAAGTTAACCCAACCCTGTTATACCTCTGAGCCGCTGAGCAAGGCACTCACAGTCCTGTAACAGCAGACCTATGTACCCAGTTACACTAGCTTTGTGTGTTTTGTTTTTGTTATCGTTAATGCTGCTGCCACACACCATGTCAGGAGGAGGTGTGTTTTGTTGTTTCAGGCTGTCATGCAGTTCCCATTTTTTTAAACATTACACATAACATGACAGGGGTGCTCACCGAGTTTTTTTTAACTAAAAAGATCTAGAGGCTGTATTTATAATTGAACTAAAACTTTTCAGGAATTAATCTGTATTTGAAATTGATATTACTAATCTGTTACTGATTAATGAATACTGATGGTTTATCTCTGCTGCAGCATCATCCGTTTTTCATAATGTTGTTGTCCTTAAGCAAAGCAATGGAATTCAGAGGGGATATCCCTTGAGACTCGAGGCCGAAGGCATGTCTTAGCCTCTATTATCCTCTTTAACTCAAGAATATGCACCAACAATGACATATTGTCTATCCAACCAGCTTTCCTACAGGATTTGGGCAACAGCAAATTAGGACCATGACAGTGGGCTATGTCACATTATTTGTTATGATTAGCCCAAATAGGACTGATTGCGGGGGATTGCTGTTAGACAGGACAAATCAATGTTCTGCAATTTAGTTCAGTTTATTCATAAAGCACCAATTCCCAGCACATGTGGTCCGAAGTCACTTTACAGAAAAGAAAAAACTTTATCCTCATTCAAATGTAGCTCCTCCTGTAGAGTTGGCAGCGATAAATAGATACAATAGCTGTCATGTAGGATAGATGAGTTTTACCTTTTAAATTGGGAGATGTTAGATTTGCATCGTTGTAATGTTCAACATCAACACTGTTCAGTTCCTCTCAATGACTCCTTATGGTTTTAAAGGCTGGAATTTGCGCAGGACAAAGCAGGCTTGAGTTGAGCTATTTGAAAGGCCAAAGGCTTCATAGATCCCCGCTTCATGACTTTATGAAGAAAATGTTATGTGAAAATGGCCATAACTCTGTGTTCAGCACTAGATAAAAGAGCTATGTTGATATCTATTTTAATAAAACCTGGATGCTTTTCATAAACCAGAATCAGATTAGTTTGCACTAAACAGAAATTCTGTAAAAGTTTTTTTTAGATTTAATAAACATCTAGTATTTGTGAAAAACATAAAAAAAGGCATGTTATTTTCTTCCATTTGGACCAGCCAAGATGGAGACAATCAAAAAAATGCCATAACACTGACTTCACTGTTCTGATTTATAAAGCCCTTAAATATTTAGTAGAGCAATAAGAGAGTATGAGCTACAGAAAAAAGGGGTGAAACAGACCCTAATTTGTGCAAATAGACAGCCCTATATTGTATCTGACTGGTCACTGAGAGTTTTACACGTGTAATATTAGCTATGTATATGAATTTAAATCAGGAAAGGATAATTTAAACAATTCTAATATTTTTTTATTTACATTTATGATAAATATAACTACATGCAGTGGTTTATAGTTTGTTTATGAACAAGTTTTTGATTTCACTGTTCATTTCCATCTTCTTCACAGTTCCACATCTTACAAAACTTTTATTATGATCTCACGTTATGATGAAAATACAATGTTGGTCACTGTTTGCTTGTGTAAAGCACCCCTCCTCCCAAAATCCCACACTAATGTAGATGGACGGATCTTCCCATCACTCATATGCATTTCAAAGTCAAAATGTGAACCAGCTGTGCATTTTAAGCAAGTCTTTCAATCACTGGTTTTCTTTTTGTGGTTGACTAACTTATATTAGAAACTGGTCGGGATCACAAACATCTCCTTCAGCGCTTTTCATGTGTGCTGTTCTCACCAATAGTGTTAGCTGAATAAGATTTGCTTATTTAGTTTAGAGGTTTTCAGTGTCCTTGACGTATGCAGTTAGTAGCCAATTACAGTTAACCATCAAAGGTAAAGGGGGGCGAGCTTGGCCAATTTACTCTCGATTGAAGAGTTCTTGATCTTTGATGATGTCCAGTCACATGGTCTTTGTTGTCAAATGAAGCACACCCATGCTTGGTCACAGATGTTAGGGGCAGATTGCTTTGCTGAAGAGAAAGCAGAACATAATCTGTTGTTTTGATCTAAAAGCCTTTACTAGTAAATCCATAAACTAAGTATTTAATGTTAAAAAATGTCTAAAAGGTCTTGCATTCATCTTTGTGGTTTGATAACAAATTGCTGGGAGAGAGAATACCATTAAAGGATACTCTGTTGTTCTACCAGAACATTTCTTGTCTGACTGTTGTAAGCAGCTGGTGTGAAAGACAGTTATTGGCTCAGTCGTTCATGTTCAATTTATAGTCTCATGAAGATGCATATACCGACACAGTATCTTCGGTTACTAAAGATTTTCAGATTCCTTCCATCTTATGCCAAAAGTGCTCTTCTGCGTTGATATCGAGAGTTTGAGGAGGTAAATAGAGCACAGTGAACTCAATTTCATATTTAAGAAACCAGATTTATATTCGTAGACTTGTGAGACAGGAAGAAGTTATCAGTAGATGGGTACTCTGTTGTCATCAAGGGATGAAAATGGTCAGAAACAGTACTTACTGTAGACAGGTTGTGGTATGCGAAAAGTGTTTCCAAGAAAATATGCACCAATAATCTTGCCTGAATTCTTGAAAAAAGTCAGGATGGACTATAAGTCTTCAAATGAGTACACCCATTTCTGACACCACCATCTGAAATTTCCAGCTAAAATTGACATTCAGTTGCCATTCATCATTCTGATCATCAGTTGCTTTATCCTGACCCTTTTTATGCTCATCCAAATGAAGGTAATTTTTTTTTGTGTGTGTGTTTGATACTTTTCAGGTGAGCCAAAGAGGTACTACTGGGAGGCTGAAACTAAAGAAAAAAGAGAACAACTCCAACTCATCGAAACCTCTAATGCCTTTGCTGACTCTGAGCTCATGTTGTGTCCTTGCTGGGATAAAGAAGTGGCCTGGCCAAAGAGCACAGAGTTTGTATACCTGTTAGAGCTCACCCAGGTGAGGGCTTTTAGCTTAAATCTGTACATCTCTCTTTAGTGACTAGAATTGTCATCTTGCCTCTTTGCATTTAATCCCAAGTTGCTCATCAAGAAGTGCTTTGCCATATACATGTGTTTGTATTTATTTGTGGCTGCATGAATGTGACTTGAGTGTGACAAAATATTTTCAGTCCATTGAATTTGGTTGTCTCTTGGTTTTCACCAGGATGTCGTGGGCCAGAAACCTCTTTGTAGGCAGAGAGGATGAGCAAAAGAAGGCATGGGGAGAGCGCAATGGCAAGAAGAGGAAGGACAGCTCTTCACTATGCAACCCACGTTACATTAGCTGCCTGAGGGATCCAGAAGATTCAGAGATCCCTAATGTGGCCCCTCAGTATTACCAGTGTGAGGCAGGTGCAAGTGGGGGCAACTTTGGCCTGCGCTGTGGCTGGCAGGAGGACCACTATGGGAAAAGGGTGATCGGAGTAGAAAATCCTGCCTTGGAGGATGGTGAACTGAAGGACAAGATAGAAGAAGAAGCAGGGGAATTAGCAGGGAGAAGGTGTAAGAAAATGACTGCTGCAGACTGCTGGAGATGGCTTCTCTGGGTTTTTCAATCCAAAAAGTTTCAGTCTGCCAAGCTGGAGCGCCTATATCAGCGCTATTTCTTCAGACTTAACCAGAGTTCTCTAACTATGCTAATGGGGGTGCTGGTGGTGGTGTGCGGAATCCAGATTGCCTTCCACTGTGTCCACACTGACCTTAGTGTGGCCTACATCTCAGTGCTTTCTGTGGCCACGGCTCTCTTCCTGGCCTTGATGGTCGTGTGCAACCGTAACGGCTTCCACCAGGACTACATGTGGATTGTGAGCTACCTGGTGATCGGGATTCTGATTGTCCTGCAGGTTTTCGGGGTTCTGATGGTTTTCCCCCGCAGTGCCTCAGAGGGCATTTGGTGGACGGTGTTCTTCATCTATATCATCTACACTCTGCTGCCTGTCAGAATGAGAGCTGCTGTTCTTAGTGGAACTGTCCTGTCCACTATACATGTTGTCACTGCCTGGCAACTCAACAAAGAGGACAAGTTCATTTTCAAACAGGTAAGAGAAGCAGATCGGCTTTGTTTTCATACTATATAAAAATGCATTACATTCTATTGATTTTGGAATAAGTATTTTTGTCTCATATTAGGATTTTGATAAAAAAAAAAGGTTTTGGTTCCCTTTTCTTAATCCTTTTTCCCATCATCTTGCTATAAGAGTCTATTTTGAATAATATCAGTGTTTAAATCAGAGTTCCACAACTGTCTGCTTTGAGAATAAGGCATATATCACGTTGCCTGAATTAAATGTTTTTTAAATTTCTTTTCTTTCTCTATGTGTTTATTCTAATCTTGTATTTATATTTAATGTTTAGCCCTAAAACACTGAAGGAAGTGAACACCAATTAACTGCATTACAGTAGTAGGTCTAAAACAGAGAGGAAATTTTAATTAACATTTTAGTGTCTTTATTGTTCAAACTTCTAGGACTGCAAAAAGACCCTGCTGGCAAAGTAGTTTCTAGCAGCTTTTAGACCTCAGCTGTTCTCAAAATTTAACAAAAAACAAAGCAATTTTGAATATACTTCTTTTTCAGATTTATGGATGTGAGCTAAAGAATAGGTCCATTCATAGTTCTCTGACAGTTGAAATGCACTGATCGGAAATATGGCAGTTGACTTTTAGTCGCAGGTTTTATAAAGCTTTGACTTGATAAAAGAGACATGAAGATTCCAATTCTTTTTTTAAGAACTGGAAACAAAACAATCTTTAGCGTCTCACCTTGGGGTTTTCTTAGGCATTCCTTGGTTTCTTTAATTAACTGTGAGATCTCTATAAGCCTGTCAGCATTTCAAGACCAAACAAATCTCATAACTACCAGAATTTAACTCCTCAATAATATAAACTAGAGAAGTCGGTGGCACTGTTCTCAGCTTCCTGTTTCCAGATGATGCATAACCCCCTCAATTGACTTGCTTCTACAGAAAGCAGTTTTCTCTCACCTATTGTTCCAACTACTTCTTACACCATGGTGACTCTAAAACTGGCTAAGTCTTCATTCAGTAACAGTTTCCACACCGAAGAGAATTGCCTTCAGCAGGACCTGGCATCAGTTAGTTTTCAATAGAGGCCAACAAAGGAGCGTGCAGAAACCCTTCACATGCCGTATTCACAGCACTGCACTGATGATGCTGTAGCGCTGTTTAATAAATGACAATTTACTTCTAGAGCACCGGGCAACATTTATGACAGCAGTAAAGACCAAGTCATGCAAGTCTTTCACCACTTCTACTGAAACGACCACGACTTCCTGTATCAAAGCTCTGCAAAGCTGACGCATGCAGCATCAATTAATGTCACATTATTGGACTGCACAGGAAATTTGGCTCCCAAACTACATTGTATTATGCAGCACACAGCCTACTTATGGCAATAAAGAGATACATGGGTGAGCTTAGTGGTTTTGGCTTTTAACGCAACATCACCCATTAGCATTTAAAAATTGAACATGCATGTGTATTTTTTTTCTACAATTCTTGCCCCTAGTTCCTTTAATAGTCACAGAATAGATATTTTAAATTTCTAATCAGGGCCAGCCAATCTTAAATTCTGCCAATCCCACCTCCTAGCCAATTTCTTGTTTCATCTTTAAAGCAGGGTTTATGCCTGATCAGTGTGCGTGGCCAAGATCATTTTGTTAAGCACCCATGCCCCCTCCATGTGGCATTTGCATGCCCAAAATTTAAGCACCACCCAACTAGAACAATTTGTAACTGCACAGGTAGTTCCAATAAAAAAAAAACATGTTGGACGAGCGACAACTCATACCTGCGAGGGTTCTGAAATATAAACACCACGGGCATCTCATGATTTAGCCTATAAATATGACCACATTAAAGAGATTGTGAAAAACTTTTGGAAATAAATCAAATTAAGGAAAAGTTGTGTACAGTATTAGGCTGTTGTTGTATATCTCTCCCACCGTGGGAGAGATATACAAAAAGTAAAAAAAAAAAAGTAAAAGTAAAACAATTTAAAACATGATAATATAAAGATAAAATTTATTTGATCTGAAAACAGTCCTGGTGGAGGCAAGTGGTGCAACATATGACAAATGACGTAAATTCTTCCTCAATTAACATGAAAACATTTTCCTTTTAAAAAATGTGCAGTTGGATAATATATGTTAATATACCCTAAAAAGGGACAATTGTATTCAATTAGTTAAAAACTAGGCCTATGATAACAGCTTACTGATTGCGAAAGACTACTACGTCAAGTCTGGAGCACTTGTAAAATATGTTCGTACCCGAGAGAAGGATAGAAATACGGGAAAATGGTGAATGTCACATTTTCACCAAATTTACTCGTACAAATGCTTTAATAATGAATTTGTGTGTACCAACAGTTCTTGCATGAGCCCACTGTGTCCCCACGTCCCATTTATGTTGATCAACATAATGAGCCTTGACACCACCCAGTGACTCTTTCCATGTGTTACTAAATGTCAGAAGAGAAAAATGTGATGGCATAGAGAATAAAAAAAAGAAAAATGACAAACATTCCCACCATGCTTGTCACCATCAACTTGAATACAACGTTGTCTCTGTGATGAGCAGTAGAAATAGCCTACTTTCTTGTCTCAGCACTATAGGACAAACATTGTACTGACTCTTCAACCACTTTATCATGTCAAAGGTGGTGTGCTAAATGTAGATAGCTCTCTAGATCTCTGCAGCCTTTCAAATTAGGTTTTTAATGAGCCCATGTTTTGTGCTGTGGGGCAGCTATGAGCAGCTCTTTGGGGATTTGTGGAAGGTCATCTGGGTTGAATGGGCCCATTTAACTGCATTGTCAAGGAATATCATGATAATGTAGCATGGTGCCATTCAGACCGAATTCCCCTAAAACAAGGAGCCTATTGTAGTTAAATGAAACAGGGTGCGGTGGGATACTGGGATTGTGCAATTCAGTTTATGGAAAACAGGATTATTACCTCTTCACTTTGGAACCAGTTTGTAATTTCCTCATTTGGAAGCACAATTGAAACATTACTTCTTTGTTTTTGTGTCTTTCCTCCTTTTGCTCCCATTTTATCTTTGTGTGGAATACACGAACACTGCTGGAAAGTCAGTTTGGTTTTACAAGCTCTCCACAGGTGTAAAGGTATTATATTCTTCCACTTAGTTTGTCATACTGCTGTATGATTAGCCAAATAAGGCAAACAAACAACACACTACATATTTGTCATTTGCATAGTCAGCAACATTGATCCATCATATTTACAGGTGCAAATGTATACAGAAGTTACCTTGGATTCATTTAAGCCAGCATGTGTTAAATAGTACTGTTTACAGTGTCCGGTGCTTGTGCTTACTGGTTTAGTTTATAAGTAGATCGGAACGATTCTTAAGGATATTAGTAAGAACCCTACTTAACGACTGAGAAACAAGTAGTTCATTCAGTTTATTCGCAGTGTCCCATGCATTTTCTCTGCCTTTTCTTTTTTTTTTATTGATTCACATTAGTATGTGTTTGCATGAAATGGAATGCTCTTTCACTATGGGGTGATACACACATTAGAGGTTATAAACTTTGGAGAAAAAAATAGCATTTTTAATTAAATATATAATCCAAATAAACACATTATTCCAAGGATGGGAATATAGATTAAAATTGTTGATGTTCTTTTGGCTTCTTAGCAACCTTTAAGAAAAAAGAAAATCATCTGCTCTGAATGTTGCCATAACTAATGGTCTGCTCTATTTGTGTTTACATAGACAAGAGGCCCTTAGTCTGGGGGTTGTGTTTGTTTTAGCATAAAAAAAAAATCAGGTATAGTAAAATTTAAAATATAGCTTAAGTTGAAAAAACCCCAAACAAATACAGAATAGAACTGTGTTACCTTAAATGTGCAGTAAAACTTGACAGCAGGGTTTGGTGCTTGCTCGGTCTCTTCATCAATATAGGGGTCCCAGACTAGAAAATCATCTAAGAACTCCTTTCCATCTGACTGAAAAATATGACGGGGGAGTGATGGTCAGTTTCCTGCTTGTCTGCTTTTGTTACACATATCTCCTAATAATAGGTGAGAGGACGTGAGTCTCAAGCGGCTCAGTCTGATGTTTACTTTGCTACGATGTTTTTTTTATTCTTTCATAATCTCCAAAAAAATTACTACTTTAACTCTGTCACATAAAAATCTAACAGTAAGAGTTTAACATTGCAATCCCTATATGTTCTGTTAAAATGTATTCTAGCAAACTCCCAACAAGTTCTTTAAAAGTTATGCTTATCCTGTTATATTCCCTTTGTTTTTATTAATGCTATTTTGCAAGCGGTACTGGAAAATGGAAGTTAAATGAAATGATTCACACTTCTATGGGAAGTTAAAGAACTGAATGCAAAATTACATTCATGGCTTCAGAGGAAAATGTTGGCTTTCAGTTCAGCTTTGTGTGGCTAAACTCCATTATGGTTGCTGTTTAAATAGACAGCAGGAACAGTAGCATAGTTTATTATTGGAACTTGTTTGCTGGAAGAGGAGCTTCAGAGGGACCAGTATATAATTTCCTTGTATATCATTAATTAAATGAGATGAGAATGTGGGGAAAATCCCCATGAAGAGACAATTCAGGATCGTTAGGCGAGGTTCTGTTGAAAAACTCATAGGAAGAAAGTATCTTACATGCCATAAATGACTATTTGTGTATCACCGTGTCCAAAACTCATAAAGGGACCAAGATAAAGCAGACTGCTGTTTATAAACCACTTCAATTAAAAAAACAATCTCAGAGGTATATGTGATTTTTATCTTGTGAACCTTTAAACTATCGTCATGTTTGCATTAAACAGTAAGTACAAAAGTGAATGGCCATTTACAGTAGAAATACAAGTCATAGCTGTTAGACACTTATGCATTCAGAATATTTCCTGTCAAATATTTCTAAGCAGAACTATCGCTGAGAAAAGTATATTGGAATGACAAGTAAAAAAAGTTCAGGTAAATTCCTAGTAGACATTTCTTTTCCACTGCTTTACCTCTACATCAGACAGAAG